ATGTTTTCCCGTTCTGGCTTGAAATAGATTTTTAAGCTGCTCAACAGTTTTTTTCATTTCAGAATGCGCCAAATGTATCAATGAGTGACAGGTCTGGACTGCAGGCAGGCCAGTTTAGCACCCAGACTCTTTTACTATGGTACATAATGTGGTTTGGCATTGTCTTGCTTAAATAAGCAAGGCCTTCCTTGAAGAAGATGTTGTCTGGATGGCAGCTCATATTTCTCAAAAACGTATATATCATTCAGCATTAATGGTGCCTTCACAGATGTGCAAGTCACCCATGCCATGTGCACAAATGCACCCCCATACTATCATAGATGCTGCCTTTTGAACTGTGTGATGATAACAAACCGGAGGGTCCCTCTTCTCTTTAGCCTGGAGGGTGTAGCATCCATGACTCCCAAAAAGAATTTAAAATTTTGATTCATTGAATCTCAGCACGACCTGTCTAGGGTGTATCCTGCCTTCCGCCCAGTGACAGCTGGGATAGGCTCCAGCACCCCACCGCGACCCAGAAGGATAAGCGGTTTAGATGATGTGTGTGTGTGAATCTCAGGGCACTTTTCCACTTAAATAAGCTCAGGCCCAGAGAAGTGGCAGCGTTCCTGGATCCTATTTATACATGGTTTCTTTTTTGCATGGCACACTTTTAACTTTTAGCGTTTGTGGATGCGGCAGCAAACTGTGTTCACAGCCAGCGTTTTTCAGAAGTGTTTCTGAGCCTATGTAGTGATTTCCACTTCAGAATTGTATTTGTTTTAACTGAGGGCCTAAGGATCATGGCCAGCGAACATTGGTTTTCAGCTTTGTCCCTTGCATACAGAGATTTCTCTAGATTCTCTGAATCTTTTAATGATATTATGGTCCATAGATGATTAAATCCCCAGGTTGTACAGTATTATTAAATGTTATTCTTGAACTGTTGCACTATTTGATCATGCAGTCTTTCACAGAGTGGTGAACCCCTCCTCATCTTTACTTCTGAAAGACTCAGCCTCTCCGAGATGCTCTTTTTATACCCAATAATGTTACTGACCTGTTGCCAATCAAACACCAGGTGTTTTTTTAGCATTACGCAACTTTACCAGGCTTTTGTTGCCCCATCTCAACTTTTTTGAAATGTGTTGCTGGCATCAAATTCGAAACAGAATATATCTTTAAAAAAACAATAAAATTTCTCAGTTTCAACATTTGATATGTTGTCTTTATACTATTTTCAATTACATATAGGGTTTCAATGATTTGCACATCTTTGCATTCAGTTTTTATTTACCTTTTGCACAGCGTCACACTTTTATTGGAAATGTGGTTGTATATAAACTGGATAATTGAAAGGAAAATAACTGAAGGGTTGTACCAGCATGTTCGAATGTTTTAAATAATTATATTAATAGTAGCAATAATAGTTATAGCAGTTCCTTATCAGTCGAGTAGCCTCTGTAAATAGGTTTTTGTATGTTTAAACAGCAATACCAAGAATGACCTCTAGGCATGGGTACGCCATTTATGGGTGTAGTTTTCCTAATTACGATAGTATAGTGTGATCTCATCTAAGAGAATCTCCATTGAGTCCATCATGAAGATGGCTTCAGTGTAAATTTGCTTTATAATCGTATTTTTCTGATACATTTATGTACTCATTATGTATGTTTTATTGGTGTAATCTCTGAGTCCGATACAGTAGCTGCCCTAATTAGAATTAGCTTACCCAAAGAAGCAGATCTCTAATGTTTTGCTGTCATGCCATGAAACCTGCCAGAAACTTACTTAATATTTTAACATAGTGTTTGTTGTAATTATGTTTTTTTATGAATTAAGTCTTCATAATTATTTACAAAATTACATCATGGCGGCCATTTTTCATACAGTAAGAAAAAATATCTACTTATATTTTTATTTCTACTTAGATAGCATAAGTTAATCTTACATATTACATTATAGAAATATCGCTGATACTGTCTACAAAAGTTGAAGCATTTTTGTATGAGAACCAAATCCACACATTACATTTGTAACAAACCAAACAAAATGCAGTTTGATTACAATTGTAAATGTGTTTTATTCTATTCAGTTGTAGAAAGAGTGACTAATGTCTGACACATTGTTCGTTTTAAGTTAACCTCCGCAAAGTAGCTACTTACTGTCAGTCACCACCAACACACTTCCTTCCTTATTCTACAGACACTCATACTGAGGACTAATGTGTGGGGGGCAAACCACTGTGAGGCATATAAAGGGGGTGGGGTCAGTCTTTCGAAACTTACAAACGAATTGGTTTGCCTATACGACTAGCACAAATTCTTTCAATGCATATTATTATATTATCTAAAGGTATACAGTTATGTTTACAATGATATTTTGAGGGGAACAACTCTATTTGTCCCAGGAAGACCTTTTAATATACAGCTCAGGAGAAGACCTTTAGTACTTTTACATGGCCTATGGAATGAAATATCTTATGTTATCTTATGGTAAGACCTGATAAAGAACATAGGTAATCATCACTTCACAAGGAACTATTTTACTGCTCCATGATCGTCTGAATGTTGTGGAAAGGAATACATTTCCTTTCTTTCCAGTTCAGCATCCTTCATCTCAAATGCAGGAACACAGAAAGCTAAAAGTAGTACTAGATATCATGCTAATATGAAGATAACTTCAGGATGCAAAGTTGCAGTTGCTTAAGGCAAGCCATTCAACACGACTGTTTAAACCTCAAAACCGTTCTATACACTGCGGGAGCCTCTGGCAAGTCATCTTTAGGGAAAATATTATTCTATACTAACCATATTGCTTATTACAGCTGATACTGTGCTCAAACCTTCAGTATATGTGAAAAAATATAACACAGGCTCTTGCTTCACTATGTGGTAACAGCAGTTAGAGTTTGAGCTTTCGTGCTGAAATTCTGCAGTGCTACTATACATGGACATGCTCTGTAAGCTGGTGATTGAGTGACATTTCTGATGAAACTTCTTTATCATGTACGTTATGTATTTTTTTTAATACCGCACTAGCCTCTGCCACATCCTGGAGGAAGTTGCATAATATAACTGATGCTAAACACTGTTCTAATGTACTGAACACTCTACAATGGATTTAATGGAGTTAGTATGATTTCCTTTTACTGGAACTGGGCCTAGGCCGACCCTTGAAAAACACCCCCATAGCATTATCCCTCCTCCACCAAACTTTACAGTTGGCACAATGCAGTCAGGCAGGTAACGTTCTTCTGGCATTCACCAAACCCAGACTCGTCCATCAGAAGGCCAGATAGAGAAGCGTGATTCGTCACTACACAGAATATGTTTCCACTGCTCCAGAGTCCAGTGGTGGTGTGCTTTACACCATTCCATCTGACGCTTGGCATTGTACATTTTGACCTTAGGCTTGTGTGTAGCAGCTCGGCTATGGAAACCATTTTCATGAAGCTCCTGATCCACTGTTCTCTTGCTGCTGCTGCTTCCAGAGACAATTTGTAGCTCTTTGGTGAGTGATTCAACAGAGGATAAGTACTTCAGTACTTGGTGGCCCCACTCTGTGAGCTTGCATGGTTACCACTTTGTGCTTCGTGGCTAAGCTGTTGTTGCTCCTAGATGCTTCCATTTCACAATAATAACACTTACAGTTGATAGGAGCAGATCTAACAGGACATACACATATATATATATACACACACACACACACACACACACATACACATACACATTATATATATATATATATATATATAGGCAAAAGTGTATATATATATATATGTATATATATACACATATATTCTATCAACCACAAAATTCAGATTCCAATTTTATATTTCTCTCTCATACAAACCTTAAAATTCAATTTTTTAGATTTAAATTTTAGAAATTTCTAATGGCATGATTCAAAATAGTCCATAGTCCAAAAAGCCATAGTTTCCTGGCTTACTATAATATTTTTGGGCACTCACTATCCAGTTGCCATACAGTTGCTTGTAATGCTTATCTTCATTTGTGCTATATGTATTGTATGCTTATCATGTGGAATATGGTATGTTAAGACCAAACACTGAAACAAAAAACCTAATATGTGTTGACCCTTGGATATCTGGAGTTATCTTCATTTTGCTGTACTATTTAATAAAATGACACAATTAAATACATATTAAGTTACATAATGAATCACGTTTACATTTTATTTAGTTATTTGCAAAAGGCAAATAAAAATATATCAAATAATATGTTTAATTAATTTTCTAAGTGAAAATAGGTTCCTTACATCCTCTACAGCAGGGGTGTCCAAACTTGCCCACAGAGGGTCAGTGTGACTGCAGGTTTTACTCCAACAAAGCAGGAGGTCATCTGATGAAATATTTGAAGACTAATACCAACTGATTAAACATGTAGAATCAGGTATGCTCCAGCTTGTTTGTAGTAAGAACCTGCAGCCACACCAGCCCTATGTGGATAAGATTGGACACCCCTGCTTTACAGGGAACAAACTTGCAAATTTTAGAGTACCAGTTCTTATTATTCAATGAATTTAACATGTTGGAAAAAAAACAACAAAAAAAAACATTTAAATGTACTATATACATATATACATGTTACATTTTATGTTTTATTCTTTGTAGTCTAACATGTTAAAATAATAAATAAACTGTAATTGTGTTCTGACGTGTGCAGACACATTTTTCTTGTAGAGGCTGTGTTTATTCCCACTTAGAAAATCAACAAAACATGTGATTTGACCAGGGACACACAAAATTTGCATGTGACTGTATGTTCTGTATCAACAACGTTCAACTTTTTTCCATTCTTCTGATGTCTACAAATGACAAAGATGAGGCAAAATTTCAAAGACTTTCTACACACAACAATAACGCTTCATCCAATTAATCTCTACATAAAATATATCTTCTGCTCACAAACAGAAATATAACATCATTTTAAAGAGCGAGAAATATTTAATCTAAAAGTACAACATTGATTCTAGTTGTGATTGGTTCTAATACCAACTTTTATCTCCTTGTTCCTCATGGTTTGGGCCTGGTTGTTACTCATTTCCAAGTTGGGAGATCACTTCACATTGCTGGACAGCATGGTCTGGGAAAATGGACAGAGTCTCAGAGCAGCTCTGTGCACTTCTTGGCAGCCTGCATATATAGAAACAAGATTCAAATGTGTTAAAACATCTTTTCCACATAACTCTATTAACACATATATTGTCAAAAGTAAGCAAACTGTTTTCAGTGTTGCTCCTGTCCTGCTTAAAGGAGAATTACGTTTTTTTGCAAAATGTTTTGATGTAAAGGTACAGACTGATTTTATTAAAATGGTGGTGATAGGAACCAGGTGCCTACAATATCTGCAATGCAAATTAAATCATTTTATGTGCTATCCAAATAGACCACTGCACCTGCACATGCCTCCTGAAGTTTTATGTCATGTTGATAATGGCAAAATAGTGGTAGAATAAACAAAAAGATAATTGTTGGGGGAGAACTTTTTTGATTTACAGTGCTCTGCATGTACCATGAATGGCTTAAAAAAGTATGTTTTAGACCAAATGCTTATCACAAATCTATCGTAGAACAATGCCTCATTCATAATACAATGTATTTGTGACCATTTTGCATAATAACATGTGTGGGAGCTTTTAAACTCTTCAGATGTCTAGTTCCTATCTACGACAGCATTTTAGGGCCACTATTAATAAAAATAAAAATAGTAGACTTCGAAAATAAAGTCGCAATATTTTGGGAATAAAGCCGTGCTATTTCGAGAAAAAAGTTGTAATATTTCAAGAAAAGAGTCGTAATAATTTGAGAAAAAAAGGCACAGAATTACAACATTAAAGTGGCATTAATACTAATGTGTATATATATATATATATATATATAATAGCTGTTGTGATGAATATGCTCTTGGAGAATATAATATCCTTTGCAAAGGGAAGGCAGCACCTCCTCGTGTTAAAATGAAGGGCGGTGAGGAGTTGGTGGAATTATATACTTTCATTTTGAATTCACCCATAATGAAATACTCGGTCTCGCTGTCTCTCCTGGCACATCAGCACCAGCCTGTTATAGTATAATAAATGGCTGAGCATTAAACTGTGTTTATTTAGATGAAAGAACCAGACAGACTCGGAGGAAACTGTAGGAAGGAGAATTGCAGGCACTGACCGTCTACACGGCTATCGGTGGCTACATCTCCGCGCCATTCAAAGAGGGCATGAAGTTTCACAGACAGTGAGAATGATAATCAAAATGATTGATCCACAAGCAGACAGGAGTGTGTGGAACTCCGGCGCCAGTACAGCAACTGAGACCCCAACGTGTTATGGCAGCCCCCTACGGTTAGCCCACTTTATTCTTCAAATAGCACAACTTTTTTCTCGAAATATTATGTCTTTATTCTCGAAGCCTACTATTTTTATTTTTTATTAACAGTGGCCCTAAAACGCCATCGTACCCATCACCACCACTGTGAAAAATGACTTGCTAAATTTCTCTAGAACTGAGCATTTCACATCAAACCAGATCTGATTGATTTTGCTTACACTATAATAATTTCATTATGCAGAAATTTTTGAAAAATCGGTGGAATTCCCCTTTAACACGTTCAAGAAGACAGTCATCTGTAAGCCATCAGAAATGACATCCCTTCTCGATGAGCCTTCCTTTAGTCTCAGCTATGTTTGCTTTCACTGTTAAGGGCATTCTGACCTACAACTAACATTTAATTTTATGTGTAATGTTATGCAGCACTCTGCATTTACTCCCTCAGCCTCATCAGTTTGATGCAACTCATGATTTTCATTCATCAATGTTCTCTCACTACAACACCCAGCATGCATTAGTCACATAATAGAATCACTGGGAATCCCCCACTCCTCCACACCCCCAACCCCCAACTGTGATAATGAAACCTTGGCTACTAATGTAGCCACTGATGTAGAGGCTGATAAAGGCAGGTGTGATCCTAGCAGTACTATTAGCTATCGAGTTTCTTTCTGCATTAGCCCGCTAGTGGAAATAGACACTTAAAATAGACCCCAAGCCCCCAAATTTATGACCCATTTAAGTCCTTGCAGTTTTGACAAAAAGTCCCTTCTACCTTCAAAACACATCACCAGAAGACTTTAATCTGGAATTTAATAGGAATTTGCAGTGCCAGTGTAGCACACATGTTAGCATGTTTACAATAAATGTAATAATGGTTACATCTAAGCCCTTTTAAGCCTTCAGGTCTGTTTTGTAAAAATGAATAAAATGGCATGTTTCCACTTGTGAATGACTGCTTTTTATTTCATTCATGACATTTCATTCTGTGTACAGTATTCAGTGAAAACTGGATTGGAGGGCAATGTATGCATGCCATGTATGTATGTTTGCTAGATAATGAGCTGAGCAAAAGGCACAAATCATGCATCCCCTGCACATGGAGGGAAGTTAAAATGGTGCATTTAACCCAGAACATGCTGGTGGGTCCAAACTACACATCTCTATAAATTAAGAATAACTCAGCTGGTTTGTATTGTAGTCTATGTAGTTACTGAATAATAAGTCATATGTAATAAGCCTGGAATTTTAAGGGGCTGACTGATTTTCCCACTTCTACCCACAGTCTTGCATCAGTACAACCTAGATAAAAACAGAATTCTCAATTCACAAATAAGGAATCGAGTCCCAACGTCTAGTATTCCTGTAATCCTAAAAGCCTGGCGTCTTATACATTCCTTGCTTCCAGTATATGACAGAAAAGAGAGGCATTGGTAAGACGGAGCCCTGACATCATTTCATATGAAATGTATGTTTTTACAGAATCAGCCACAGATGAAAGAATTTCAGAGTTGCATCATTTAACACAGGAAGCCACACGTTTGAGTGTGCGTGCCTGAGGGGGTCTCTGGGGGGAAATCAGTCAGACAGTCAGAGACTAAAAGGGAGAGAGAGAGAGAGAGAGAGAGAGAGAGAGAGAGAGAGAGAGAGAGAGAGAGAGAGAGCGTATACTCATTATAACTTACTTAAATAAAAATAGCTTAAAGTAAAAGTTAAGAACTTTTTTTTATTCTCTGTAAAATTTTGAAGATGCAAAGTTTTGTTAGGACAGTGACAATATGTAGATATAGATATTGTTCTATAACAAAGACACTGTGCATGGGTGGGAGGGGGCTTGGGGCAGTAATATACCTGAGACATGCTCCAACTATTACTATTACTTACAGTAACCACCTAAAAATGTGCAGCACTTTTGCAGTCTAATACATAAAATAAAAGATCTTAGTGCATAACCCCAGCTGGCCACTAGATGATGCTGTTGTGATGAATATGCTCTCGGAGCATGATCAGAACAAGCACTTGAGTATAATCTACTAGTTCAAATGAATAATGTATTATAAGTATCTCCATTTTTTGAGGACAGCAGCTGTACTTTATATTGTGTGAATTGACCAACAGACATGCTTTTAAATAGTTTAGAATAAAATGGCTTTACATTAGCTTGCTTTAAGGTAAAGAACAAGAACGTTTTGTCATCTTGGATTTTGAATCCAAGCATGAACCCTACTACCTAACACTGACATAACTATAAACATGTCATGGCAGATAAGTTATTATTACAGATTATGTCCAGTAATTTAACAGTGTCATGTTACCATTGCTGTTAATTGTCATGACATTTGGCATAATGTTTGATGGCATGATGGCTAACTACAGTGCACAGTAACAATTAACACTATGACATGTTTATAGCATATTTATATCAATGTTCTGAAGCAAGGTTCAAGTAAATAATACCAGATTTTGTATAAATGCGGCAAAGCATGTTGTTTGGCAACCACAGCCTACTGTTAATCATAGCCTGCCGTCATTTCTAAGCTGAGAAATTGTTTATTACAATGAATAACAAATTCTTTATTGAACATTGGTGTTTAACTGCTTACATGGCCAGCAATGTTTATTATACACTTTTATAACATAAAAACAACTCAGATTGCACTGCAGTCTATATTGACATAATCAGCCTGGAATATTAAGGGCTTGTCCGTATTTTGCTGTAGCAATAAGCACTCGAGGATGAGTATTAAAGTGTCTTTACCACGATCAAGGGTCCGCTTTGACTGCATAGATCAGAGGCCACCTCAAAAAGAAATGCATGAAGGAATCGAGTCCGTTCATCTATTGATATCAATCTTACAAGTGGGTCTAAGTGTAACAATCTTATAAGAAAAAAATATTTCTTCTTTTTTATTTTTTTATTATTATTTATAGATTTATTTCTTTTTTCTTTTCAAGTGTGGCACTGTCAGGAAGGGAAGGACAGATGAGTTTCCCCTTTTAAATCTTGGTTCCTCTCAAGGCTTCTTCCTTATTTTTAGGGAGTTTTTCCTCACCACAGTTTCATTTGACTCATTAATGTCCAGAGATCTACATAAGGTTGTGTCGACCACTGGTTCAGCAAAATGGCCCCAAAAACCTGGGCTGCCATCCATTATTCCAAAAGTGTAGCTGTAGCTCCATTTCAATTCCATACGCTGTAATTTATGTGGTAAAAAAGGCAGAACCCAGCACTCTGGGAAAAGTATTTTTCTCTACTGTTTCTCTCAAGAACTGAGAAGTACAATGAGGCTGCTTGGTGACTGACACTAAATGAAGTCTTTAAAATGAACTCACACAAATGATGTCCTGAAAAACTACCCATTCAAATAATGAAACTTAGTCAGCAATCGCCACATCTCCGTCTCGCTCTGTCCCACAAAAAGTACACGACTAAATCACCCCTGAAGGTGAAACTAGTTTCAGCACTGTACTGATGCCTGATGTGAGAAAAAAATCAACATGTTCAAGTCACTTTACAACGTTTTCAGCCAAACAAGTCACGAAGATGAAGTTGTGAAACAGGAACTGTTCTATATTTACTGTAACTTTTCGAGGCTTTTCAGCCCGATTTGCATGAACAAAAAAGGAAGCTCTCGTTTCCAGGAAGTCAGTGTTAATTACACTAGAAAGACACTGACGTGATAAGATGTGAAACTTTTCAAGCACAACTCGCGTTGCACGACCCACCAAGCACCACATTTATCAACACTGCCATCTGCCCCAGCCTTGGCTGACGCTTCTGAAAGAGGGCAGGGGTCGACTGAGACTTT